ATGTATATATTTAATGGACTAACAATTGGTATGAAAAACGTCAGTCAGCATTTGACTCAATGATAAATTGTATTTTCTAATTAGATCATTGTATCGGCCATAGAACTTACGAAATTATTTCTTTAAACGAGACTGCTGATATTCTTGTTTCATCAACTTGTTTGTCGATAATTTACCTCGGTTCCATATTTTTGGTTTAGGTCTTTGTATGATAAGAATACCCTGATAGATTTATGAGCTTTTTTACTACAAGTAAGTCCATAGTAAGTAGTTTTCAAATATAACAAAAATAACAGTGAAGTATTTTTTAAGGGGTTTGAGACAGTGAACTTACATGTTCTCGAGTTCCATGTAAAATTGTAACAATGAGAAAAGACGTCCTGCTGTGTCATTTTTTAATAAGATGTAAATCCAAGACAAGACCGTGGGCAACGTATTTTTATATACCTGTACTGGGAGGAAAATCATTCTACATGCAGTGTAACTATAAAATCCATAAAAGTTTGTCAAATAAAAATTTGTCATAATTCCACTATAATTTTTGGCCCAAATAGATGTCAGAAAAAGAAAAGGAGAAGGTGAGAGAAATAATCTTATATTTTTACATAAAGCACTGTGCAAAACCTAAAAAGCTAAATTACGGATAATGTGAGATATTAGACACGAGTTAAAAAAAAACAAAACCTTTTTTATATACTTTGATTTCACTCCTCCCCCTTCCCAGCCCTAGCTTGTTTATGTACTTTGTATACATTAGTACTTTATTTTGTCATTAAAATTTTGAAGAAATTCACAGAATTATGCACAAGGTTTAAAGATGGGAATGATTTTGTCTAATTCTAGGAGGATGGGTTGACCCTAGATAGTCATGAATGAAAAATCAATCAGATTATCATTGATGCATTTTTTTGCAAGTCATATTGTTAACATTTTAGATTCAGGTATAGGGGATGACCTTCAGATGTCATATCCCTTATACCATCATATACATGGTGACACAAAGAACAGGATAATGTATGGTTACAAGGGGAAATTATTAAATATTTTTTTTAGATATGTGTACTTTCAAGGAGAAACCTCGGAGGTGAGGGTAGGTGATTGACTCCTTAAACCATTGAATTTGTCACAATGCAATAATGACCGTAAAGCTTTAGTATTAATTTTATTTAAAGCCATTTTATTTGCTTCCAGTTACAGGGATTGGAAATGATTCCCAAGGACTTGCTTTCATGTATACCTTGCGGGTCGAATTCAGCGATCTAAAGACCATTAACGGTTTGCCTTTCAGGTTATCTTACCCCCTTCTATGTAATGTCATCCCATAGATGTAATGTACTTACCATTGTTATTGCTAGTGTTAACTTTATGAAATAGTATATGTAACATATATCTTGTCAATTAGTGAAAGTGATAAAATGTATAATTTTAGGGTTCTGTATTTTTCTTTTAATAATACTTACAAATGGAATTTTACATTTGTCTCGGGCTGATTGACCACCGTTCATTTATTACGGAGACTTTAAGGAGAGATTAAAGGCTTCAGAGTGAAACTGAATCTTTGACAATATGAAATGAATTTCGTACAATTGTATCGGTGACTTTGTTTTTAGTATGATATTAGGTACGAGATTCTAACGTTTCTCATTGCAGATTTCAAATATATCACATCCATTCAAAATCTATCGCGTCCTTTGAGGTCTTAATCAAGATAAATTTTCACAAATTCCAGAAAAAAAATTCTTTTTTTCTCAAAATGAATAAAAGAAAGTTGAAAAAGATAGGATATTACCTGAACTAAATTGATCCAGACTGCAATGGTAAGGAAGACAAATACGAGTGAAAACCTCATATTCTTTTCTTTCTGGTTTATTGATCTGTCTTTATCTTCATTGTTTTAGTGTCTATCAGTTTTACAGTGTATCTAGGGCTAAAGATAACGAATCGGATGTTTAAGATAGGTGATGGATTTGTATTTGAAATACTATCAAAATTACTAGTACTGTTCATACTATACAAATAATATTGTAATTGTTAAAGCTGCTTGCAGTTCGATCAATAGAGGGTATACAGGAAATTTAAAAATACCAAAAAAAAAAAAATGATTTGAGACTGACACATACATTGATGATTAAATTTGAAAATTTGAAACATTAGTTCAAAAGGTAATGACTATAGTGTTATCAAATTGGTTGATTTGTTATGATAATCGCCAAGATTGTGATTGTATATTGATTGTTATCTATTCTTAATAATGTGAATCCAGTGTGTGGGTCAAATAACTACAATGAACGAGTTAATAAGATTAATATGGATTTCCGTCGCTTTGACTTCGGTAAGGATTTTAAGACAATATTAAGAATTTATACACTCTTTGGCATTTTATGAGAGGGAAATATGTCATGTATTTGTGTTTATTGTTGTGCTTCTTTCTCATGTTTCTATTCTACTATATATTTCTACAATTCAATACTCTTATCTTTATACCAAAAAACAAAACAGAACGACAAAAACAAACAATTCAAAAAACAAAAAAAAATTTAAAAATTAAGTCAGGTTTAAATGAAGAAGGGGATAAATTTCAAGTTTAATTTCGGTTAAAAATTTCACTTAAATCTTATGTATTGAACGGTGTGGATTCCTTTATAATGAATAAGTTAACAATTTTTCTTCGGAACCAAATTTTTCACTGATTGAGTTTGCACTTGAGAATCGCTGTAAATAAACATATTCAAATAAAAAAAAATAATTCACCATAGTTTTTCTTTTAGCAATAATGTCCAATTTGAAATAAAAAAAAATAAGGCGAAAGTTATCCACATGTAGTGAAGGCAAAAAGAAACTAACTTAAGTAAATTTTATCCCGTAAGCGTATTGTAGTCCGCCTTACCCAAGGAGATATTGATTAGAACAAACTGAATCTACTATACCTAAGGCTCCTTTAGATTAATATGATTGATGCAAACGTATCTGTTCAAACAAAATTTTTCTATAGATTCTATACACATGTTTAGTTGAACTCCGGTATCTCGAACACCGATACATCTCAAATAACATGGATATGATGAAGTGATTTGGAAGTGCCGACCATTGATTCTTTAAGTGCTGTACCCTCGATATCTCATATGATCAGATATCTCGACGTTTTTTTTTTTGCTTGGTCCCATCGAGTTCGAGGTAACGAGATTTAACTGTTATTAATATATGTAAACTTTTTAATACATTTTCTGGTTCAACCCTAACCAAAGGAGTAATGATCTGAAACTAAAACTACATAAGGATGCTCCCATATAGATATGATAAGCAATGCTTTTCTCTTCAAGATCTTAGAAATTAAAAAAGAGGTTTCATATACTAGTATATATCTACATAGAATTGTGATGCCCTATTGTGGCCAAACTCTATATTCAGAGGTAATGATATGAAGAAAATTGAATTTATACTACCCAAAAGAAGCTTCTATATTAATTTGTTCAATCAAGGTTTTTCTTTTCTGGAGAAGATGACTATTTAACATGAAGATCCTATGTATTTCCATACAAAAATTGAAATCCTATTGTTGTTCCACTCTTAAATATAAGTCATATTATTCAGCGATGGGGTATACGATGAGAAACCGATGCGTTTTCTGATAAAAATGGAGTGGCTGCCAGCCGGACACCTAAAGTAATCGGACGGTGACTGAGGCCATTGGGGAATCGGTGGGGTCATCGGCAGAAAATAAGTTGTAGTTAAAATTCAGCGATGTCTCCACCGATGCCCAGCATCGCATCTCATCGGCAACGTTTCATTAACACATCTTTCAAGGATTTGCCGATGTATGTCAGAGCATCGTCAATTTCCGTTGAATCTGACATCATCGGGAGGTTGAATGGTGGGCAACAGACATCGGTCGATGATTGACCAAACATTGGCCCATAGTCGACCGACGTACAAACGATGTTCACCAATGTATGAGCGATGTAATTTACATCGGCCGACTACCCTGTAATATCGTTTTATGATTAGCAATGCATCGCTGGGCCTTTTTAAGTCCGATCGGCAACCGCGCCATTTTTTCAAAAAACGATTGGTTGTCCATCGTATACCCCATCGCTGGATAATGTGACTGATACTTTAAGGACTACTAGACCGATGTGGATCTATGTAAGGGCATCGCTCACACTACGGATTACCACCGATTACAATCGGTCTACGGCCATCGGCCGGGAAATGTGACTAAAGCATTACTAATAAAATATTGCTCTTCTTTTTTTCTGTATAGTGTACCAACGGGAAGATCACGTTCTTTATACACGTTGATGAGGTTAAAAGTCCCAATAACCTTCTTCATGGCGGGGGATGTTGCCAGGGTGCCAGAACAAGTCCTTGTCCAGATCTTTGTAAACCATTGCTCAAGCTCTGCCTCAAGTTTGTATCAATCAGAGATTTATATGTGAAATTTCCAAATATTTAAACTTCTGATTAAGTTTTTGCAAAATGCACTTTTTCAAATGGTACAACTTTGGTGTAATCCTGTGCATTCATGTTCAGTCAAAAATGAGATCCAAATACAATTTTACCAATTTTATTTACAATAAAAATAACATATCTAAATTAATTATTGATCAAATAATTTTCTCACATCTTAGCAAACACAAGTTTTTTTTTTATATTGATAATGTGGGGATGCATTTAGGTGCAGGAATAGGGTTCAAATAAATGGTATTTAAGAGGGGTTGATTAGAAAAGAAGACAAAGAAGGCTACGAAAAAGAAAAGAAAACTATGGTTAAAAATAGGACAATAGGGTGAATATGAAGGGAGACATTGAATCATGGTCTCATCATTTTGCAGGGATTCCTCAAAACAATGCCTTGATGATGTAACCACGACTCTTCACTTGGAAAGGAATGACGTCATTTACGGTTCCGTGATCGGAAACACCACTAATCCTATTCTGCTTGAAGTGGACAGCTGGGTAAGAAGTGACATATAAAATCTAAGCACAAAAATGTTTTTTCCTTCAGAAATTCTAAGTTATAGATGCTATTGTATATACATTACTTTAGATAACATATTTTAAATACTGCGAACAAAAGATGATTGTATGAGATTGAAAAGTCTACTCTCAAAGTGTTTGAACTTTGATTACATACAGAATAATGGATAATGGATAATGCCCCCCCCTTCACATTTATTAACAATAATTCTACTAATATTTGTGCAGAATGATGGCAGAATGAAGGAATCATACTTATGTTAATTGAGGGAGAAAATTGTCCACCTTTATGCTAGACTATTATTAAAAAACTCACATATAACAGATTTATAGGGAAATAAGCCATTGTCATCGTTTATTTTCGAAGTAGTCAACTTCAAAGTTGAGGATACATTCTAACCCTGCCATGTCAATAACAGCTTCTGTTGAATTAAAATCAGCATTACATAAATCAAACAAAACTAAGAAAAAAGGACAGTATTACATGTAATACTTCAACTTAAAGGATGCATTAATGATAAAAAATTTTCTTGTACTAGCGTTGTCTGTACAGTTCTTGGACAAGCTAAAGATTGAATAAAAACTTGTGTCATTGATATTCATTATTAGAATATTTCTCATCCTTTACTAAATGAGAATTGAAAAATGTAAAATTTTGTTCAATTTCAAATGTTTAATTACAATTATGGCTTCATAATTAGACTTGGAATGGAGACCCGGAGCACAGCAAAATTTTAATTAAAAATTATCTATCACTTTATAAATTTCATGGCATTATCCTGTTATTCGCTCCGAGGAGTGAATAATATTTGACGTTGTTGACGTAACGTCAAAACATTCCTTGGATGCAGAAATAGCAAATAAAACTAAAACAAACCTCAGTACGATCCATTTATCTTAGGTCAAGGTCGAAATTAAAAATAAGATCTCAGGTGAAACTAATAACAGTAATGAGAAAATGCATTCCTTACTAATATTTATATAATAAAAATGCAAATATCAAGTGTTTTGTTATTTTTAAAATTTAAAGAATACAAATGTATGAATTAAAGAAATCCAAAACATTCTCCGTTTTCATTTATATATATTTAATGAATGAATATAGTGTGAAAATTATTCGCACCGGTGCGAATAACAGGAGTATATATATACAGACGAAGTTCCAGATTTCAAGCTAAAATGCCCAGGAAAGGGAAGTATTCCCGGGAAAAGGGTTTCTTTGGGGGAGAGAATATAAAAAAAATGGGGCTTGGATATTTTTGGAGGGAGACACTCTAAAATACATTTAATGAATGGATATAGTGTGAAAATTATTCGCACCGGTGCGAATAACAGGAGTATATATATATACAGACGATCTTTCCATGTTCAAGCTAAACTGGAATATTTGGTGGATATTCATTGTGAGAAAAGTATTTTTAAAATGGATGAAAATAGAGGTATACTTATTAGCACCGGTGCGAATAAACGGGGGAAGATTTTTACAAAGACCATACTGAGTATAACTGAACCATAGCAATAAGGTGAACACTATTCATGCATTCGGTCATTGTTCGTATTGTTAAGTAGTAAAAGTGAAAGCGTGTTTTTTTTTTCGATTTTTGTTATGGTATTCAATTTGAATTAGGTCTGATATAGTAAACAGGAAATAAAATCATGTATGTACAGAGATTCATTCACTGTTCGAATGATATTGTAAACTCACTTGGATATACCTGTACCACTTCAAGGCATGGATTCCTTAATTTATAGAACAATATAATTTAAGTAGCATAAAAATATGGTTTATTCCGTTACAGGTGTATAAATAAACATACAATTTATCACATTTCTACATGTTTTTGAGTCCTACGCAATGAAATTTAACATGTAAGCAAACAATGGACAAAACAAGAAGATATACCATGAGGTTTATTCCGTGACAAAACAAGCGTAAAAACATAACATATTACATTTTATTCCCTGATAAATGTATAAATATAAAATTATTCATGAAAATATTGTTCATTCCGTTAAATAATATAGAAATTAATTTGATAACAGTTTTCGTTTTCCTCATGCATATAAGAGACATTTACGGAATAAACGTTATATATACCAAATAATTCTCTCACATTTAAAATTTTACTCAATAAACCATTTAGTTTATTTCGTAATAAAACAAACATAATATATAACATTTTATTCCCTGATAAATGTATAAACATGAAATCATTTATGAAAATACTAGCTGTTTATTCCGTTAAATAGTATACATGTATATAGAGAGTAAATTAATTGATAACAGTTGCCGTTTCCTCATGCGTATAAAAGAAATTCACGGAATAAACGCTATACATTGCATTGAATAATTCTCACACATCTAAAATTTTATCCAATATGCCCTGTAATGAAATTTAGTCGTGATAAAAAAATTACCACGGAATAAAGGCTAATATCTGAAAGTATTTATGTATTCTTTCAACATGTTCAAAGGCAAGTATAAATATGAAGAAAAACGTAACGTCAACAACGTCAAATATTATTCACTCCGCGGAGCGAATAACAGGATAATGCCAATTTCATTTGTATTTTATAAAATTCCGGGGAAATCTGGATGACTTTTACATTATGAGGATGACATAAGTTATCACGTCAAACCTGCAAAATCTGAACGTTCAAAATTACAAAATGGCTGAGAAATCAAAGTTAGAAAAAATTAAGACAGGATCGGAATTGTTCAAAAAAGGTACGTTTCGGAATAGTTGGAGCAGTGAGCATGCAGTGATAAAATTCTGCGTAGACATCGGAAAACACCTACAGAGACCCTTTAATTCTATAAACAATCGGGAAAACATAGTAAAAGAAGCCGTTCATTAGTATTTAAGTGACATATAATATCTTTGGACGGAAGGAACATTTTACAGGATGGCGTGAGTGAAGGAAGATCATCTTTCCGAGATTGCAGAGCTGTATAAAATGAATTTTGTAACGTTAGACCTTGTCGTATTTCCGTAAATAGAATTGCTGTTACGCGGACAGGGGTTGGATGATTTGCAGGATAGACAGTTATTAATTTGTTACATATGTAAGAATTATTTCAAGTATGAAACCTGAACATTACTCGTATGTGCACATTTTTATGACTGGTTAAAGCGACATAAGCAACGTATTGAGTTAAACGGTGTCTATGTTGAGAAAAGTTACATGTACTCGTATTAAGCTTTTTACGTCGGGTAACGTCAAGAATTTTCATTTAAGTGCTCCGGGTATGAGTGTGAATCTCTTTTGTAATGTTTGTCAGAAATTATCAATGTTGTCCACGAACTTGACGAACAACCCTCGTAAGTTTCAGTAATGTGCTTTATTGTTGTGTAATACATCCAAGCTTTAATTTTCTGTTTGCCTATTTCATACTTGCAACGTTTTATTTTCAAATAGTGTGGAAATCTTTCACAGAATCCAAAAAGGGAAAACATCAAACATAGAAATATTTTTTATTAAGAAAAAACGTTTACAAAATCGCATTTACTTCAAAGATACGCTTAGTTGTAAATCTAAATCATGTAAATTTGACCTTGTTGCACATTTAAGATAGGATGTCAAATCTAAGTATAGTATGGAAAGACATGGACATGTATTTTGAAAATAAAAAAATATATATATTTTTATATTTTTCACAATAAATCATAAACACTAAAAAAATCTGGTACATGTAATAGGTTAATGCATCTCTGCAGAATAAAAAAATTGAGTCACTTTTTCACCAATATTTAAAAAAAATAAAGTCTAATAATTTAAATAAGAAACTTTTGTTCATGCCTGTCTGGTTTTCCTAACACAGGATAAATATCATGATCGACTTTCTTTGGAAGTGTATGACATACAGTCTTCTACTCTACCCCTTTTGTTGAAATCAGAATTCACGGATCATGACCTCCATA